GAGCCGTTCCTAGGTCTTTATAGACCATAGGCGAAGTTTAAAAAAAAAAAGACCAGTTTATATAAAAATTTTTTTAACCACTATCATCATCTCCAATAAAAAATATAGTTTACAAAAATATTAACTATAAAACATAATTTTTTGCCTTTCTTTCTTACGAACTCGTTTTTATATATAAAAAAACGTTTTGCATAAAGTCTTTGGATAAAAGCACTACCAAATTTTCAAGCACAAAATCACAATTCTATAAACCAATCAATTGTGCATAAAGAAATTACAATTCTTATCTAACCTAATCTAAATCTAAAATCAAACTTACTTGTGAATTTTGATTATTGTTTTTAACCACAAAGAAAAACAATTTTTTAATGGTGAAGTGGCGATGGGGAAGAAGGTGAAGAGGCTCGTTAATTACCCTAAGTTTTTTTTTATCTAATTTTAATTAATAATTTGTTTTAGTTTTCGTTTAGATTTTTTTTTAACATTTTTTTATTTGGTTTTATATTTGAACTAACTAATGGTCTTTTAATTAGAAAAATTTAAGGCCTCCAACTTTTTTTAAGAAAAATGGGCCGGAGGCCACCGCTTCTTTTTTATTGCCATAGGCACGGGCCTGGTTAGTGAGAGTTTTTGCCACATTAATCATGTTAATATTGAGGAGAGTAGGATTCGTAGTGGTGGGGATAACATCCTTGGTTTCAACATGAATACTCCTGTTAGAAGAAGTTAGGGATTGAAACATGTGAGATAGCTGATGGATGAAAAATGAAAGTTTTTGATGTTTTAGGTTATGATATCAAAGGTTTTTATGGTTATGATATCAGAGGTTCCGATACAATAAATTAGTTTAGAATGTTGATTGTCTTATCATTCCAAATGATTATATATTTTTTTAGACTACTTAAGTCCCTTAATACATATCCTTGATAGTTACGTTCTGTTAATTTGGTCGTATACAATAGTAACTCTGGAACACTTATATATTATTATACCAAAAATATGTTAATTCAAAGAGATTTAATAAATTCATCTATCCTTTTTTTTGATAAAATGTGAATTTATACCAAAAAAGCTGAACATGTTCTTCCAATGCTTAGCTAATTCTTATCGAACTCCAAAAAAGGTGTAAAAAAGCTCTAAAAGAACAGGATTGGTGTTAACCATACATAGATTCTACTAACAATAAGTGAACCAAATAGACAGCAAAGAAGAATTCGTCTATCCTTTGATCCTTTCTATGTCTAATGTATTTGTTATGAAACTTTTCTAATAATTTTAAATGACCATTTGCATATAAACTTGTGGCCAATGGAG